CAGGTTTGCGACCGTCCGACGTTGTAGTCAGGATTTTTTTTAGGTTCCGCGAAGACGGTTGCAGAACCTCTGCACGGGGGGCGTGGTCGCGCACAGAGACAGATTGGATGGTTGCAGAGGCTATGCGTCAGAGGCATAAATTGGCCTTAAAGCTGTCCAAGCTGGTAAGTTGATGGTCGCGAAATCGCCGCAAGATGGCAACGGGATATAAAAATGTTCGTCTTCTGATTGTGCAAGGTGCAAAAATTCTTTCCAGGTTCAAAAAGAAAAAAAGTTAACATTTGCACTAACGTATAATAATTTATCTGAAAATGAACTGCTTTGGCTGGTTGTGGTATAAGCATATAATGACTATGCACCTGCAAGTAAAAATGTTTGCTGGATGTCACTGAGTTTTAAAGAATATTCTATGCTACTGTTATAATTAGGGCTGGGTAAAAAAAATCGATTTAATCGATTTTGAATCGATTCCTTTACATTTTTGCAAAATCGACGTCTAGGGAATGAGATAGATTAGTTTTATAGTGACATGCGTGACATTTACATTCAAATGAGCAGGAGAGATGCATTGAAAATACTTCAAGCCAGACAGCTGCAAATATAGCTAATAGGTTGATTGAAGACATCAACAAATGGAGGCTGACCAGCAAATACCCTGTTGTTAAAGACAATGCTGCAAATATGGTTTGTGCAGTGGAGATAATGCAGCTCATGCATGTCTGTTGTGTCCCCGCTGTGTCACGTCTGCTTGCTCGAGTGAGGCTTTTTCACTTTTCACAAACAAGTTTGCACTTTTGAGACAGTTTTTCTCACATCTCAAGTTTAAACTCTCCGGTTTACAAGTTTGCACTTTGTTTAATGTGACAGGAAAAAACAAAATACATGAGAGTTTTGAAACACAGTTGAACCACTTTCATTGTTGTAAAAACAGATTGAATCGAAATTAATCGATTTAGAACTGTATGAATCAAAATCGAATCGATTCAGGACTTTGGGGAAAATACCCAGCCCTAGTTATGAAGAATGAGAATATATTCTGAATTCATAAATGAGATGATATGGCTGTGTGATTTTGGGTCATAACCTCTCACAGCTTTTAATATAATTTACCTTAGAATCTCTATTTTGATTTTTGAACATCTACAATAGTTTCAATTGTTTTTTTATATTTTAAATACAATTATCTATTGTTAAATAAGGGGGGAAATCAAGTAAACTATAAATACACCTCTATATAAACGCACACAAGTGAAAATAACCAAAATAACAATGACAGAAAAGAAATTACTGTTACTAACAACATCAAAAGTTCACAGTCTTCTGTAGCATTTACTCACTTTTAATGTTGTTATGCTCACCTCTATAAATCTTACCGTTTCCTCTAATTTAACTGATGAATCTTTTGAAGTCTGAACTCCCTTGGTAGATTATCTATCGCATATATGTCTGCCTTTCATGTTAATGCAAATCGGCAATCCTGCAAAAAAAAAGGGGGGGGGGACAAAAATGCTACAATTAACATCAGCTTCCCATTCACTTCACCGTGTAAACATTACTTAGATGCACGTGTAATAACGGACCCACTTAGCTCCTGTTCCAGTGTTGGAAAACATTTAGCAGGGAAAGAAAATCTAAACTTGTCTATAGCATCGTATTAGACTTTGGCTCAGTGTGTCTGGAAATGTCCAGCCACTCGCATTTTTACAAAAGCCACATTGTTGCTAACGTTAGCATCCTCCCAAAGCACAATTGTAAACGGTTAACACGACGATGCTAGCTGTAGCACATACATCTGCGTAACACTATATTCGGCAAATGTTTACCTACGCATCCAGTAACAGAGCAGAGCTTGCAGATGGACGAGGCCTGGCACGCCTTCTTCTTCTTCTCCCTCTATCTGCCTGCTGGCTAGCTACGGTTCGCTTCCATTTCTGCGTGCTGTTTTCCAGTCGTTAGCCAGAGCCATTTTCACTGATGCTGAGCTGGGTGAATGCTAGAATATTATCAGCTTCATCGCCATTTGGTTACCGGCCGCTCTGTGCTGGTGGGGAGCTCATTAGCTTGTTATTTTGAGGGCCGAGGAGAATTTTTGGCCGGTCGGTAGTAATATATATATTTTTTTTGGTAAAAGTGAGTGACGTGTGCTCCCCTAACGTTGGTCCTTTCCGGCCCCTGTAATGTTTCCGGGTAGCGGCAACAGAGGGGCTCACGGACGGTGTTTCAGGGCTCAGAGCGGATTCACCGCTTGGCTTCATGCTGCTGGGTTTCACTTATAGAAATAATTATCTAGACTTTATACCCAACAAACGTAGACATTATTAAAGTCAGCCTGAATATATATAATTTTAATCATCCTTAGAACTGTAGGCCTATAGAAATAAGTAAAAAATAATAATGTATGTCAAACTTTTAAATAGTTTAAACGTGGGAATAACTTCAGTTTATTCACATTCACATTTGATTGCATCATTGACTCAAATGCAACCCCTCACTCTAAAAATGCTTGTCGCGACAGTGGAGAGGAAAAACTCCCTTGTAACGGGAGGAAACCAGCAGAACCAGGCTCAGTGTGAGCGGCCATCTGCCAGGGCTGACTGGGGTTCAAGGAGACGGAAGCAGAGATAAAAATAAAAAGCACCTGTAAAAGGCGGCCCGTCCAAGAAAGACACAGCCAGGTGGACGAGCTCCAAGCCAACTCACATGTCAGAGGGCTAAGAGAGCACATCCAGCCACTCACAGTCAGAGAAACAGGACTACACTTGTATGGATTAAACCCATGTAACTTCACTTAAGTGTGTATGTATGTAATAAGGCTCTATAAACTACTCTTGCGTACCTTTTTAAATGTGTCATGGATACAATTTAAATTTATTTTATCAGGTTATAGAATGTCTATCAAATTACCACTTTTTCTGACCACACAAACAAATATGACATGTTTAGTTGTTTGTAGAAAGAGAACATTTAAAAAGCATGGTTTGATTAGTGTTTTTATTCTGATATGTAGCTAAATTTGTAATTATATTTTTACCACCCTAATTTTTCCTGATAATGTTACATAAAATGTAGTTAAACAAATTGCCTTCACCAGTGCTCTACTTAGTATCCAGAATGCCACAATGTGTGTTACTAAAACTCAAAATAACATGGCTGTTCTATGACAGCTTCACACGTTTAAAGCTTAAATAGAATTTTAAAGCAGGGCTATAATTTAAAAGTCTCCAAAGATATAAACATATAAGTCAGGAATGTCAGTTAGGAATGTCAAATGACATTGGGGGTTCCCAATACATTGGCTTTTGATACGATAATGATATTGCAGCATTAAGTATTGGCTGATACGAATATTGATCCAGTACAATATCACCATAGATCATGAATACTTTTATTACTCATTTGCTACTGGAATGTTAGAAATGGCTTTATCAAGTGATATTGCCCAAGAGAGAGAGACGGAGAGGTAGCAACTGTATTATTGACCAATGGGCTATTTAAACTAAAAAAAAGATGGATCAAGATGGATACAAATTTGAACAGCTCAAAATACCAGTTTATTTTAACCCAAGATATTATACACTTTTACAATTGTAGAGCTATAGAATGTAGACAAATTTCTGACAAAGATCTGTGGGCTTACCAGAATGGCACTGTGGACAAGACAATCTATAATAGTCCGAAAGATTTGGAAAAGTTACACATGGTTTAGTGAGCCAATCCGTGTGATAGAGTCACAAATGTTTGTGTATCCCTTTCTGTCTCTTTCTGCCTCCAGAAAGGCTAAACCCAGACAAATTGGTAAGATGCTAAAGAACTTTGGTTTGAAAAAATATGGTAAATATGTGGGAAAGCCTTTGACTAGTTATGAATAACCTATGTTCATAATTCTTCATTAATAAATACTGAACTCAAGCTCTTGTCAGCCCATTTAAAGGAGCAGTCCGGGTCAACAACGAATGATCAATGGATATTTATCTATACCTAAAACTGATACGTTTGCGGTGATTTAATGAATTTAGTGTTAATCAGTAAAAAAAATAAAACAATATTTTTCATTGCAATCACTGAGTCCGGAACCGGCCCAAATATAGTAACACCTTTCTCCTGACATCTTCTAGCAGTGGCGTCATGGTGCGGTAAGCTGAAGGCCATTCTCGCCGCTTTACAAGCAAAACAAATGAGAACTACTAGACAAATCTGCAATAAACAACAATTATTTAAGATTTCAAGAGGACTTCACCATTTAAATTTGCGAAAGCTATAGTTAAACTGACAATGCCCACGTGCATGGCAGATGGATGTTGTAATACATCAGGTAAAAGTGAAAAAAAAAATTGTTATTTCACCTTTTTGATTCATGATCCACCACGGGTTCATCGTTGGATTGCCAACTTGAAGAGGGAGGATTTGCCATCGAACTTCTGGCCACAGAAAAACAGTAACATGTAGCCACCATTTCAAAGAAAATTGTTTTCAAGATGACTTGGATAATAATGCATTGTGACAAACACCAGATACAGCAGTGGGACTTGCTAAACAGCCGATACCGCACCGTGACGTCACAAACCAGTAGTTGGCAGTAGTGCTCTTTGACAAACATGGATGTCTCCGGTAAAGCATGTTCAAATGAAATTACTCTCAATTAAACACTTATCATTTATTGAACATTATGTAATACTTTTATATTTATAATACTTTCAGATGTTTTAATTCTGAATATGAACAGACATTTTCTTTAACAAATAAGGTTTTAATTTATGAACCTGAGGGATCAAAGCAGGCTAAATAAAAACCACCTAGTGGTGAAATGGGCTTACTGCAAGAACTTAAAAGCATAAGAGCTCAATGAAACATATATCCATATAATTTTTCCTGTCCTTTGTGTGTTTTCTTTTGTGTTGTTCCAGCTCCAAAGTCATGTTGGCTGTCGTCTGCTCTTTCATTTGAGCCCTCACTCACCTTAGAGCAATGTATTCACAGGAGGTTAAAGATATGAGCTGCACAGCCTCCGACTTGATGTGAGGATCCAGCAGTTGCAATGTGACATAACCCTGTGTTTGGATGATATAGAGTGGATTTTATTTAAAAATACAGCTTTCCCCTCCAAGGAGCACTCCGTGGCTTTTAATATGCCTTATACAACATCTCACACTTCAGTGACGTAGTTTTAGTTTGTTTGCAATGAAGGCCTAAAAGCGTTTCTGCTAAGCTTCTGCTTTGACCCTTTACAGCACTAATTTACTTACCAACTGCCATTATTACAGAACCAGTTTAATAAAAATCACCTAAATATAAAATGATACAATCCAGGACAACTTGAATTTAAATTTATGAACAATACTTTGACTCAACGTTTTTAATATTTCTTATTGCCCATATAGTTTTTCACGAAATTTAATGAAGCCATATTTTCCGTAAAAACTGATTTTACTTAAATAAAAATCTCTGCTTTTATTTAAGTTCTATTTATTGGGATCCCTGGGTAAGAGTCATATAAAGCTTTATTTTAAATACTTTTCTTCTTTCATTACCTCCTCAGAATCTTAGATTGAAATACAACTTTTGGATGCCTTTTTTTTAGTTGTGAAAAAAATGTAAAAATAAGAGATTATCACAAAAATCAGCAGCAACCAAAACATTTATCCACCCGTTTATGCTTGCAGGGGTGCCTCTCTGTGGTGGCCACAGGACAAAAGGTCAACTATATCCTGGATGAGTAAATAAAAGGCACCCCTAAAAATTTAAATAAATACATATCAATTAAGTTGGGGTTTATTTATAATACCTGAAATAGTATTTCAGCTTGAAAACAGTTTAATTGCTGAGAAACTTCAAACTGCATTATATAGGGTAACAATATGTCAAAGAGAGAAATTTAAAATCTTCAAAATAGGAAACGAGAAATTAGCATTTAAAGCATTTTGACAGTGTGCTGAGCTCTACAAATTTGTTCCATTTTTACATGTCGACCAAAAATTTAAAGCATTAAAAAAGTGAAACATTCATAAATGAAACAGGATAAGGGGTTAGGTTCAGAGACAAAACTGTCATGAGAGTAAAAAAACAAACAAACTATATTTTAACTGTTAAGGAACTGTTTTCAACCTTGGACCTTTACATTTATCGCTTTCAAATAAGTTGAATTATTTGTATGGCGTCCATTTAAAATCTGTACCAGTTCTAATAAAAAACGCTGATGATCAGTAACTAGTTAGTCAATATTGTTTTAAGGATAATTAAGCAAATCAGACCAACATCATATTAAATTCATAATTTAGTAAAAGGTTAGACAACTTGATAAAGATGTCAGTCACTGGAGAAGGTTCTTTGGTTAAAGGGCTATGAGGTCCTCAAATGGAGTCTGGAATTAACTTCTCAGTTATTTGAATTACTGACAATAATACCTGTAATGTTAAAGACCATTCACAGCCCGGTACTCTGTATTGGTTTTCAGGACCACAAATGATCCTCTCCAATTCCAAACAGAAAATGTATGGACTTGTCGAACGAACGAACGAATGAACAAACAAACAAACAAACCATCCACCCATCCATCCATCGTTCCAATCTAAAGTATAAATGACCATAAGGGGGCTTGCCCAGGTTGCCTTTCATCCAAGAGGCACAGCTCTGTGTGTGCATCCACTAAAGAAATTATTAAGAAACAAATGAATGAATTCCTAACGTTACCATAGACCATGTGAAAAAGTCCAACAGTTTTCTATTAGAAAATATCTGGCATGCTACATTAAAAAAACGGACAAAGCCTTTTTCCCACCAACTTTATTTTACAAATTCTTTGTCACTGTCGTATCCAAGGGAATCAATGCATTCAACAATAAGAAAAAGGGTTTTGTATTTAAATCTATCAGCATGAAAATAAATCCATTAATCTTCTCTACTAGACACTCTCCATGTCCATCTACAGTAGCCTTTATGCATCTTCCCCTCTAAATGAATTCATCATGGTAAAAATGTACACCATATTCATTCATTTCCCCTCAAACAAAACAAGCTTGTCAGTATACCTGCCTGCACATTTTGCTCTTCTTTGTGATGAAAAGAAATAACCCCTATAACGAACAAGGATGCTATGAGAATAAAAAGACAACAAAATGTTATGAGTTTGGCACTGTACAGTTCATTATATACTAACACGGAGGGTTTTTTTTTTTGTATCCTCAAATTAATGTTAAAGAGATCACTCAAAAATTCTGATTGTACTAGCTATACAAAATACAATACTTGCACAAATTAGATTAACCATTTATAAAATCGTGATGATGAGTTCTTAATGGATATGGCTTGTGAGTTATTACAGACTTTGCTACAGACCTTTTTGTGGCTCCATTTTTTTTCTAAAGATCAAATACAAATTGTACATCGTCTGTCCTATTTCCCTGAAAAAAAAGACACTGAACCTCAAAGCTTTCGGGTTTCTGTTTGGACCTCTAGCTTCCAACCTCTGTAATAAACATTCATCTGAACATACATATATTATGGCATCGTAGGGTTTTGTGCGTACAGCCCGCATTAAGTTAGCCAGTCAGGCTGCTGCAGAAGAAAACTGCTTCCAAACTCTTTCATCTAGCTAGAAAGGCTCCAGAACTTCTGAATATATGTTTTTGTACCCAAATGGAAACCCTTAGTAATCACTTGAGACAAAGAAGTCATAAGGCTGATGTCTAGGCACGGTACATACAGCTGGAGGGTTGGCCATTCGAAGCATTGACGACCCTTGAGAAATGCCAGGCATGCTCTGTCAATGCCTCTCAGTTAAATGGAGCTGGCATGCAACAAAGTTTAGAGTCGTCTCTAAATCTTAATGACGAGGAAAAAAATAAGTAACTAAATCAACTAGTCATGAAAAAGTAAAGTCATTAAAAAACAATAAACACTTAAAAGTCTCACCAAGTAAAAGAACATCACATATCATAAGATAATTGTTAATAATAACCATAACAGTTATAATAATTATTAATAATAACACTCCATCAAATTTATAACAACTACATCAAGCACTGTGTATAGGAAGATTGTCCCAATGGAGTCGTGTGTTTCTGTTTTTCAGCATTTTGCCTCCTCTACCTGAAACGTTCCTTCTCCCACATTAATACCTCTGATTTCTTTTGATAGAAAAAAAAGTAAAATGAAATAAAAAATAAGGAGCAAAAAATAAATCCTCTCTCGATGCATTATCCTCTCCTGTAGATCAGTCGCGCTCACGGCCGAGCTTGTGCTGAATGTAAACCTTGAGGACACGACACAGAGTGTGCTCGTGTCTGGTGCAAATATCAGGGGACTGGTTTGTGCAAAGTTTTGTCTCTGTGTTTTTCTTGGAACTGTGCTTAAATTGCTCTTGTTTTGTGTTTTTTTTTTCTTTGTTGTTGTTTCTTTCCTACACATGAATACTTGATACGTCATGACAATATCAACACAAAATCGATAGAAAGAGAGAGCATTTTTATATGGACCACAGATATCACATACTACAGTATATAGGATAGGATAGCCCTTAGTATTGATAAGCGTTGTTATTGATGATTTTTTTTCTACCTTTTTATGATGTTTTTTGTTTTTTTTTTCTAACTTATACTGGCTGAAGTACATTATGATACAACAAGTTCTTTGTCTTGAAGATGTGAAGGGCTTCCTAACCACCCAAGGTTGTTTTCTCACCGCCTTGCTCCAAAACCAATCCTTTGACTGTCCAAAACATCACTGGCGGGTATCATTCATGGTAATATCTAAATGGTGATTGTCAATCCCGCTTCCAGGGTGAACGTTTCCAAAAAGATGGCTTTGAAGGACAGTTGTAAGTGCAACCTCTGTGCTTTTTGTATGCAAATGTATCACACAGCGATATGCCTCTCTGAAGGTAAATTGAACACATGCTGTAGTGTTACCTCTTATTTTTGGGGTAATTTTAAAACAGATGGCTCTGGATATTTTTTGGTAGGGCCTGGTCTGTAATTGGAAACACCAGGGGAACCCTCAGACCCTGAAAATGAGCTTATATGACCTTGTAGATCAGCTTCCCTGTATGATTTGAAATCTAAGGTCACGTGGAAAAATTAGGCAACCCGGGTGTTGGATTGGTAATTTAGGGTCCTTCCTCGGTTTAAACATTATGCTGGAAAACAGCCTCTCCATCAATAATCAGGAAGCAAGAAGCACAGTCCAGTCTCCCTGGGTCTGGATGAGGTCTTGTTTAGCAGAATGTAAAACATCCAAAATCTTTTACCATGCAGGCACAATGGTCTTTGAGACTGATCTGGTTCCTCAGTATAAGTTGTCGACATCAGTCAAGGTAGTTGGATCTGTCTTCAGAAGTCCTCTGCTTCGATAAACCATAATTTGTCTCATTCTCTTTATCTAATATGGCTCCTGAGTACTTCTTTAAAAACATACATAGATATATATATATATATATATATATATATATATATATATATATATATAT